CTTACAAAGGACAACCAATAAGAATAAGCTCTGATTTCTCAACAGAAACCATCCAAGTGAGAAGGCAATGAGATGGTGTATATAAAACAGTGGGGAAAAAAAAAAAAAAAATCCAAGCAATAATTATATACCCAGCAAAACTTCCCCATGAATATGATGGTGAAATTAGGAGGTTTGCAGATAAGCAGAAATTAAGGGAATATGTTAAAACCAGATCAACCTTACAAGAGATACTAAAGGGAGTCATTTGAACAGAGAACAAATAGTAGCAAACAACAACCAACCATTAATACACAAGATGACATAACCCAGAAACCAACACAGCTATGGATGTATCCCAACTAAAATAAGTTTACAAGATTGTAAACAGGGAACCAGAGACATCAATTGGCAAATGAGGACAACTATAAACCAAAAAAAGGGGAAAAATAGTGCACTTACAGAACTTCTAAATAGTGAGGAAGTCAAGAGGGATGCAAGATAGAATGGACTGTTCTAAACTCGGGGAGAAAATTATAAATCACAGGGTAACCTCAAAGAAAAATGATAAAACTTCACATCACAATAAAAAAGAGGACAAGCACAAATATTTAGCAAATACTAAAACTATAGTAACAAAGGAAATGATAAAATGATTCATAAACATAATGAGCTCAGCACAGAAAATTATATGGAACAAAGAAACAAGAAACACCATGAAAAAACACGTAACAAAAAGACAGCAACCAATTCATACTTGTTGATAATTACACTGTATATGAATGGAATAAATTCACCACTAAAGAGACAGTGAGTTGCCAACGGGATAAGAAAACGTAACCCATCAAAACACTGTCTACAAGACACACATCTTAGAGACAAAAACAAAAACAGAATAAAAAATCAAAGGCTGGAAAAAGATATATCAAGCAAATGGAAACCAAAAAAGATCAGGACTGGCAATATTAATTTCTGATAAAATGATTTTTCAGACAAAAACCACCATACAAGACAAGGAAGAACATTATATAATGATTAAAAGATCAATTGAACAAGAAGATATAACCATAATAAATATCTATGGACCCGATCAAAGAGCCCCAGAATACATAAATAAGACTTTAAAAGAGTCGAAAAGGCAAATAGATGACTCCACAGTCACAGTGGAGAATTTAATATACTACTTTCAATGAAAGACAGAACAACTGAAAGAAACTCAACAAGACACAGAAGAACTAAACAACACAGTCCACCAACATGACCTTATAGACATCTACAGAGCACTTCACCCAACACCATCACAAAAATTATATGCTTTTCCAGTGCACATGGAATATTCTCCATGATATACCATAAGTTAGGACATAAAGTAAGCCTTATAAATTTAAAAACCTTGAAATACTGCAAAGCATCTTCTCAGATCA